AAAAAAAAAAAGAAAACACCCCCCAAAAAAAATAATAGAGAGAAAAAAATATTTTTTACAGATAGGTTTTTTAAAAAAATACACCATGGGAGTAAGAATAAAAAAAAAAAAAAAAAAAGAAACACTGAAAAGTTATCTATCTAGGTTTTCTCCCTCACGTAGCGTCTCCAGCATTTGCACCACCTCATTAAGTGAGCTGAGATATTCTTTCCATTCACGACCACCACGACGTTGCGGTAGTTCACGCCAGATAAGTGACTTCATTCGTCGTCGTAGTCGTCGTTCCTGTCGCATAAGCCAACTCTCTTCTTCTGGAGAAAAATTTCGGAGAGTGTTGCTCTTATCATGGCGACTTCTCTGCATTTCGGCGTCTACTCTTCGCTGTGGTGGTGATGGGGTGGCACTGCTAGGTTCCGATACTCTCTGAGATGTAGAATATACAGGAATGATTCTTTGAGAATTAGAGCGTCTAGGGTTCCCCATCGATGCTGGTGAAAAATGTTGGCAGTTATGTGCTTGTAATTTGCTCACACGGTTCCAAGGACCTAATTCTTCTGAAAAGGAACACGGTGTTGTGTGACGGGGCACAGTTTTGGCAGGTGTTGATCGTCTGCCTGAACGAGTTCTACAACAGTGAGATGTATTAACACCATCATTTCTCGTGTGTGGAAGTCGCTGTGGGGAGTTTCTCAAAGGCTGCATACTTTCATCCACTAGTACAAGATTATACCGTGCAACACATACAGCACAGTATGGGTTAAGACGACTAGGACCAAGAGGACTACGCGGGCGTGTTAATGAAAACCAACGGCCACGCATAGGAGAAACTGAAGGTGACATAGAACGACGAACAAAGTATATTGGCATCCGTCTCCCATTTACATCGTAATGTATCTCAGATGCTGGATCTCGTAGATGGTGGTATGACCCTTTGTAATAAATATAATACTCCCCAGGAATACCTCTAAATTTTTCGGATTTAGAACCATGGTTCAAGGCATCCTTATTCTTTAGTATGGACGGATGTCTTTCTTCCTTTTCTCTTCTTCCCATCATTGGTGTTTGTGCACCTCTTCCTCTCATAGATGAGTTCACACCAAATGATGTTCCTCTCCCGCACTCCAAACCACCTGGATGTCGAGGTGATGGTGAATGCGGCCGCCACTGGCGTCGTTTATCTATGAAAATCCTCTCTCCTTGACCTCGACCATACTCCCCTTGATTACCAGAGGGATGATTATCGTTCTCATAAGCAAAAGGATTTCTGTTTGAGCGGTCTATCATTCTAGTAGTAGCATGTTTAACATCTTCAGCTACTCCTGGTACCTTTGGCTGCCCGTTCTCTTCTCTCTGATCTGCTTCTTTACGCAATTGATGTACTTCTTTTTGGTTGCTTGATGATGTCGCAGAATTTCTTGGCAGAATGCCTGCTGCTGACAAATCCTTTGCTCTCATTGCCTCACCTTGGGAAGCCGAATAAGTTTGATATTCTTCGTGTTTTTGATGATGATGATGATGATGGTGATGGTGATGGTTATGATGTTGTGACCGTGGTTCTTCGTGTTGATTATGACCCTTTACCTTTTCTTCTTTAACGTCTCCCTGTTCCTCCTCTCTATTCCTCTCCCTAACATCTGCCGCCACCTCCAACCCAGTCGGAATGGAACAGGGAATTGGAGCCCCGGAAGAACTTCTGTGGCTTCCACCCACATTAAAAGATGTCCATGAAGACGATTGTGGTGGTATGGCAGATGAATGAAGTTGTGAGAGAGCACATGAGGCCTTTGGAAATGTAGAAGAGTGCGGCGTCTCTGTTTGAAACAGTGTTCCCACTCGTTCACGCAATGATGGAGAGAGTGTCGCAAGGATATCGGCAACACTTTTTTCATCCATCAATGGGGATGTCTGAGAACCTCTTCTCTTTTCTACCTTCTTCGAGGTATTTTTTCGGTGGGAAGCAGGGTGGATATACCAACTCACATCCGTGGTACACTCTTTATCTTTTAGATTATCTGAAGAGGAACCTTCATTTACACATGAAAATTCCCTTACGTGAGTTTCCATGAATGGCTCTGTCCGAGCCGTAGTGGTAGTTGTTGTTTTACTTGGCCTTCGCAACTCTGACTTTTTCTCCTGACCCTCAACAGGTTGTTTTGGGGTGGCAGAATCAGCGCTACGATGACTCTCAGTAGTTTCAGAGCCGCTGGATGGGACATTTTGTCCCTCGAATTTCTTTTTCATCTGTTCTCTCAAATCGGCACGTACACGTAAAGGACTAGAATTATCCATTACACGTACAAACATAAGATTAAACCAACGACGAAAACACAACAACAACTGATATCGCTCTTTTTTGATCATATATTTATCGAGTTTCCGTTCCATCTGTCTTTCTTTCTTTAGAAGGTCTTCGTTTGAGATATCATTATTGGGGAACATACCAGAACTGCTACTTATTTCATGGGATTGTTTCTTTGAGTGGGCATCATCACTGTTCTTTCTACTGCCAGCTCCTTGATTTGGTAACAGGTGTTTCTCATTATCAGGCTCCACTCTTGGTTTTACTTTTTCCTTCACAGTGACTGGATCATTCTCACAAGTGCAGTATCTAGTTTCTTCTTCATTTCCAGGTACACTTTGGTGGCTATGTTCACAGAATAGTTCTTTTTGAACATGCGAGGTTGTACCTTCTCTAGAGTGTAAGATGGGTGAAAAAGTTAATGGTGGTGAAACTATCGGTTTCACCACTTCAGTTCGCGTTCCTTCTCTCAAAAAATGAGCGTAGTTTTCACGTAATGTTGAAGTTTTTACATGTTTGACATTTTTAGAAGTAAATTTAATGGGTGATATCGCCAATTCATCAAATGATTTTAGTTTTGTAGGTGATATTGAGGTGTTGTCACCTACACTTTTCTTTGTAGAAAAACCTCTTCCTCCACGCTCAAGTAAGGTTCGCATTTCATCATTTTTTTGATGTACCCACGATTCTACATGTTCCCTATATTGTTTCTCTTGCTCTTCAAATGTTCCCATCTGAAGAACCGTCACACCACATAAGGAACAAACTGTACATTGGGCACCTTGTAAGGAATTTTGAATATCTGTTACTCTTTCAGTTGTTGTTGGTCTAGTTATTTTTGGAGTGGGGGATGGATATGGCGAGGCTATGCTTGATGTCACAAGAGGATCAGAGGTAGAACTGGGAAAAACAGGTGGATGTGAAGATATCTGTGACTGCATTGGTGACTCAAATGAAAGTCTATTATCATGGCAAATCTTCTCGCCTGGTTTCACAGCTGTAGGGGCACTGTGCGGTACGTCTCCCACAGACTTTGTGGGTGGAAGTTCACTTGTGGGACGAACGCGAGGCGGTGAGTGTTGACCAGAGACGATAACGGAGGATGAATCACCACGCAAACTCAGCGGTGGAGAAGTACAAGGCGTGCTTAGAAGTGGCTGTTGTTGTTGTTGTTGCTGTTCTTCTTCTTCTTTTTCCTTTTGGCGTTTTTCTTCTTCTTCTTTTTGTTGTTGTTGTTCTTCTTCTTCATGCTCTTGCTCTACACGAGACGCCATTTCGTGAATTCCCCACGTGGAAGAACTTTCCGCGTCATCCGCCGGTTCATAAATGCCAGTGGAAGGAGAACTGGACTCCACTACTTGTGGTGCGGAAGAACTATCAGTGGATCGTGAGAGTGACTCATTGCTGCTTCTTTTACTACTGCTGCTGTTTCCACTGCTGCTTCCATTGCTGCTCCTGCATTCCCGGGATACATTTACATGAAACACACCTCTAGCCTTGTGATCCATCTCGTCTATGAAAAAAAAAAAACCTAAACACCAAAATAATAAAAAAAAAACCAGGGGTTTATAGCAGCAAGTCAGACTCTAGATTGGTGCTTTTTTTTGAAAGGAAAAGCAAAAAAAAACACAGCTCACCGTGTCCCTGTGTGTTTATGTTGGTGTTATTTTGTAGGTATTTTGTTGGTTTCTTGTGTATATGTCTCCCCAGAGAAAAGTGTTTATCCTTTTTTTTCGTTCCGGAACAAAAAAAAAAAAAGATAAACACTTCACTCTGCCAATTGTATTTTGCACAATTTTTTTTTATTTTGGGAGTGACACTTCTTTTCTACAAAACCAAATGAAATATGTGCCTTAAATATAAGAAGAAGCAAAGAAGAAGGAAAAAAAAAAAATTCACAAAAAAGAAAAAGAAATGATGAACCCACTCAGTACCATTTTATAACTAGATATTACTTATTCCCTCTATCAAACGTTTTTTTTTCTTTGTTGTTTCTTTATTTTTCTTCCTCTTTTTTCATCTTTTTTTTTTTCTCTTGCTTTTCCCAAGGGGATAAAGAAAAAAGGTGAGCCACGGAGAAACATATACGACAGACATACTTTACTGGGACCGCTTCTCCCAACCACCAGACTAGTGGCGGTTGCGGTGTTTGCGCTTTTGTTTCTTTTCGCCTTTGCAGCGAGTTGGCCGCCCTTCACTCACGTCGAACTCCTCCATTAACTCCGCCACTGCTGCGGTCATGTTTCCATCGCCCCCTGCACCGGCGGTGTACTTGATGGTACTCACATGCCGCACCTGATAGCCGCGTCTCAGCAATTCAATGAGAATACGGGCAATATTGCGGGCGTCATCAATGCCGCTGTGGGGATGGCCATGGAAGCACATTCCAAGTTTTCGCAGCATGTCGGTTAGTTTGCGTGGGCGAGTGCGAAAGTGTTCTGAAAAACAATGGCGAACATTCACCCAGCGATAAAAAATTGGGGGAAACTCATGTCCATCACGTAATACACTACACTCATGCATAAACTTACGCATATCCCAGGGTCCATCGGTGGCGAAACAGACCTTTTTCTCATATTCTACACATGCCGGGTGATGAGCCTCATCATAGACAAATTGGCGTTGTTGTTGTTGATTCAATCGACTGATGCTGTTTGGGTCTGCAGACTTACAAAGCGGGTAGACATCATTCGTTAACCAAGTTTGAAATTGCCGCAGGACTTCTGGTAGTGTTGGTGCCGCCTCAACAACGGCCTGTGTGATACCCGTAAGTGATGTGCAGAAGTCTGTGAGAATCGGATGTCGTGTGGGACGCACAAATGAGTGAAACTCCGCCACTACGCGAAGTTGTGCCACGTCAATACAAACAACAGGGAACTCGATGATCTCGTGATGATAATGTGGACTCGCCGAATCGCATGTAGCCTCAAAGTCACAAACTAGCAGATGTGTGAAGGGCTGTGGTCGGGATTTAGATTTAGACTTGGATTGAGATTGGGATTTGGATGCTGGAATAGCAGCGTTAGCAGTAGTAGCCCCACCATGTCGAGTACTTTGCAGAAGAATATCAAATCCAATGCCGGTGGTGGCTGGAAAGGAATAGACATCCTCCACACACACAGCATCGCTCTCATTACCCTCAGACGATGAAGGTGTACTAGTATTATTAGTATTATTAGTAGTAGTAGGATTATTACTATTCTTATTAGACGTAGTATTAGCAGTAGTATTTGCAACAGTAGTAGTCTTGGAAGTGGAAGTTTTCTCCTTAGAAGCACGAGGTAATGCTGGCTGTATCTTCGCGACTTCCTCTGCCAAATTTCGCGTTCGTGCAGTCAGCATCTTTCCTTCCCACATTATGTAGAGAAAATATATATATATATATATGCACACACACACACACACACAGAAAGAGAGAGAGAATGCCGAGACTTACTTTTTCACTGGCTTCTACGTGAACACTGCCTGTTGCTCTTGGCCTCTGTCTCTCTTTTAGCTTCCAGCCGCGTGAAGAGAAGTGTGTGGCCCCCTCCCCCTCTAATAGTATGATGAGGAAAAAAGGATAGATAATATACATTACGCAATGGGTAAAACCGAAAAAGAAAAAAAGAAAAGAAAAGAAGTAATAAACAGTAAGAGACATGTTTCCCAACTACAAAAGTTTAACCTCATCTAATAATTATCAAGGTCTCTGAAAGACCTTAAAAATAGCAGATATTCATATTTGAAGAAAAAAAAAGGGGGAAATGGAGGGGAGGGGGAGGGGAGGAAAATCAAGTACACTTGTTCGCACATCAATCATACACTACTGGTAAGAAAGATACTACAAGAACAGCAGCAGCAAGAGGGTTATTATTTTTTTTTAAAAAAGGAAAAAAAAAAACCCGCTGCCGTTACTTTGAAGGTAATATAACTCAGTAAACAAACAAACAAAAAAAAAAACAAAAAGCAAAAAAAAAGAGGAAAACGAGAAGGGACTATATTATTGGAAAGTGTGACATGACTCTACTCTCTCCCATCTCTTCATTCACATCTCCTAACTCTTTTCCTCTCTTTCTTTCTATTTCTTTCTCTTTCTTTTTTTTTCTCTCTCTCTCTGTATATATCTGTATATCTCTGTATTCACCTTTTTTTTTCTTTTTTATTTCTCTCTCTCGTTGTTGAAACACACACACACACACAAAAAAAAAAAACAAAGGAAGTCAGGAAGGAAGGAAGGAAATAAAAAGAGAGGAAATAAAACGTTGACCTTTTTTTTACAGTTTTCATAGACTTTTGTTCTTGCACCGCTTTGCTGCGCACTTTTCAATCATACAGAGAAACGAGAAAAAAAAAAGAATCTCTCAAAGGTCAAGTTATCTTCAGTGGGGAAGAACATAACAAAAAAAAAAAAAATCCAAATACTAGAAATGCGTATTTATATGCGCAATCTGTGTTTTTCTTTTTCTTTCTCTCGCAATTGGATGACTAAGACTCCTCTCCCATCCCCCGAAAAAAAAGGAAAAAAAAAAAAACACTATCCCCTCCAAGATGCCCTTATGCATATAAACACATCAAAATAAAAATATACATATATATATATATATATATATATATATATATATATACCTTATTCTTCTTCCTTTACTTGATCTATACAAAGGAAAGAAGCATCCACACTTGTACATTTTACTTGCTCATGCAGTAGTTGGTGTTACCAATCCAGTAACCGAATTTGTAGTTCCATACGGCAAACGACTGAGTGGGATCTCACAGAAGGAACAACCCATTTGTAGCATGCGAATGACAATCTTCGCAATGTTCCTCGCGTCATCGATTCCACTATGCAAACGTCCCTCAATAGGACACTTTAGAACATCTAGCATTGCTTTTATTTTACCCTGTTGACAGTTAAAAAAATGCGCAAAGGCACGTTTAACATCAATCCACTGGTAAAAAATACTTGGAAATCGAATTCCCTGTCGACTTACACTATGTACATACATAAACTCTCGAAGATCTGTAGGTCCATCGGTTGCAATCATTACGCGAGCTCCAGGAGAAATAGTATGCGCATACCATCGCTCAAACTGTTTAATCACATCATCCAGTGGTGCAGCGGTATCAATATCCTCCTGTTGAATTCCTGTTAATCCACGACAAAAATCACTTAGTTTGGGTTGTACTTTAGGTTTTACATAACGATGAAACTCGGCCACCACACGCTGTAGTTTTACATCCACCAAAACAACAGGGAATTCAATAATTTCATACAAATACGATGGAGGTGTGTTCTCCTCACAGGTTGCCTCAAAGTCAAGTACTAATAGGTAGTCAAAAGGACATTGTGATTGAACCACAGAAGGGTTCATAAAAGACAAAGGCGGTGAGACTGGATAACTCCAACTACCACGAGATTGATTAACATAATAGCCACTAGTATTAGTAGGTGCATAATGTGCAGCAGCCGCTGCCGCTGCCGCTGCTGCAGCCGTGCGCCGGCGAAGCATATCCTCTCGAGACTCCAACTTAAATGTTACAGTCGGCGAGGATGAGGATGAAGACGCGGTTGGTGGTGTTGCCGCCTTCGTTGCAGGCGATGAGGATGATGCGGGCAGAGTGGTTGTGTTTTCTGATGTTTCCACCGGTTCATTCCCATTCAAGACTGGTGGTGATGAGGAGAGACACTGTGAAGTATTCACAGGAGGTTTTGTCGTTGTTGTTGAGGTTAACCCTAATGTGGAAGCACCTGAATAATAGTATGGTGCCGCATCAAGTGATGGACTTGATGTTAAAGGGTACAATTGAGATTCAAAAGGAAGTGCTTCGTGATTTAATGTACTTTGAATGGCTTTCATCTCTCCTTCCGGCATCGACATTTTCTGCTGATTCGGCTTCTTCTGTTCCTGTTGCTCTTTCTTATCTTGTTTTTGTTTTTCTTTTTCCTCTTCCTTTTTCCTTGTCCAAACCGAAGAAACTGGTGTACTCGATATCGTTGTTTGACTAGTTCCTGAAGCCTGCGATGGTGGTAGTGACATTTCACCCGTTGAAAATGGATCCAAATAACTTGATGGTCCATCACTCTCCAGGCACCAATCAACACCTAAGACTGTATTCAGTGCTGATGCAAACTCTTCTCGGTTCTGCACCAGACGATGCACTGTCTCAAAGTGCATTCTAATCTCCTCCCACTGTCCCTCAACTTCATTATGAGATGATGATGATAAAGAATCACCACCCTTGTTGTTGTTGTTGTTATTATTATTATTAGCAGCCATCATGGGAGTAGTTGCTCCTTTTTTCCCACAAACATTACTACTCGTTACTGGGAAAGTATTATCATTTGACTTGAAAACATCTTTGCTAGATGGGGAAGCATCTAGTGAAGCACCCGTTAAGGCAATTTCTCTTAACGAGCACAAAATCTGTGGGATGGAGTTCTCCTCTTCCGGTACAAGTTCAAGGGTAGTTGGACAGATATGATATTCTGTTGATCCTTTCATTTCCCCAGCGATAGTTCCACTGCTGGAAAGCTTCGCACTTCTCTTCAGAGTCTCCATAGAGGTAGACCCTTGCGGAGTACTTTCTCTTATAGTATTCATCTGTATTCTTTCTCCATCGTGTCGTTGATTCGATGGTTCCTGTTGCTCATTCAATGTGGAACAGTCTGGTTGTCTTTGAATTAGCAGTGATAGCCATTGCATGGCTAAAATTCTCGCAGTTCGACACTTTTCAACTTTTGAACCCATTTTATTCTTTGGAGTGTGCCGATGACTACTGTGTACGGTGCGTGCAGCCGTTCGCCGTCCCGATACTGTGGAGATCTTCCGTGATGTCGCCGTATTAATCGTGGGAGTGGTCGTTGTCGTCGTACTTGTGGTAGTGGTAGTGGAGGTGGAGGTGGTATTAGCAGTGGGAGTGGGAGTAGAAATAGAGGAAGAGGAAGAGGAAGGAGTAGAAGTATTATTATTAGCATTAGTAGCATTAGTAGCATTAGTAGTAGTAGTAGTCGTAGTAGTAGTAGTAGTAGTAGTAGTAGTAGTAGTATTAACTGCAGTTCCATTTGGGCAAATGGGTGATGATGACTGATGCGCGGGATTTGACAAGCAGGCGTAATTTCTCTTCGATGAACATTCGGAGTTGAGAACAGGCATCTCTTCTTCACTTGCAATGTGGGGTGAGTGTGGGTGGAGCTCCTTTTCAGTTTCCATTATTTTCTTTTTCTTTTTTTTTTTTTCTTTTCTATTCTTTTCTCTTACTTTTTTTTTTCTTTTTCGTTTTCTTTTGCTTGTTAAGTATGCGCCCAAGTACAATTTCTTGTTTAGGTGTTGCTTTGTATCTTCTTCTTCTTTTCTACTTTGCTTTCTTTATTACTTTCTACTGTTTTCAGGTGATATCTTTTATGCCGTTAGGATACAAATTGCTTTTTTCTTTAATCGGTTCCACGCTACTTTATCCCTCCTTTATAAAAAAAAAATATCAATCCTCCTTTTTCTTTTCTCGTTTTCTTTCTTTCTTTCCCTTCTCTCTCTACCAAATTCAACGATGAGGTGTATTTGCCTATTCCTCTTTCGTTTTCTCTTCGTTCTTACTCTTCTTCCTTTTTTTTTCCTCTTTACTTACTCCCTTCCCAACTCTTTTACTTTCTTTTTACTTTCTATACGTGTAATATATGAAATAGGCGAAGGATGTTGATCCAAACTGACACACCCACTCAAAACACACCAGAGGGCAATGAAGACGCGATGAAGAAAGAAAAAATGAGGAATAGTTATGCCTTCTAATGAATAGGTCTCTCTCTAAAAAAAAAAAAAAAAGGAAAGTACTTTCCCCTTCTTTTATTTCCTTTACACTATTTCTCTTCTTTTTTTTCCTTTTTCGGTCTCCTTTGCGTACCTACACGGTATGCCTCTATTTGTGTGACTGAGTGAGTATATATATATATATATCTATATATATATATACCTTTTTGTTAATATGTTTGTTATGCAGCTTCTTTCTCTCCAACGGGAGCTTCACGCCCCGTTCTTTCTATTCCACTGCTGCTACTTTGTTTGTTTGTTTGTTTTTAGAAAAACCAAGAGAGAATAAGAATAGGAAAAAAAAGAAAAAAAATAGACTAAAAAGACACATTTAGATACAGACATGTGCCCAAGTATATAAAACCTCGTTATGTATATATGTTTTTGTTTTTTTTTTTCCTTCATTTTGATAGAAAAATCAGATTAACTTTATTGTGTTCATCTGCAGGTCAGTGCCGGGCAAACCAGAGGTGAGAGATCAACAGCGAAAAAGAGGGGAGTAAAAGAATCGTAATATAATTCTTTCCTTTTTTTTTTTATGATTACAAAGAAAAAAAAACAAAAAAAAGTACGTATGTATACGCACTGCACGTGTAAACTGTACAGGCACCAAACTCACGAGCAGGAAGAACACCACACTATTTTAACTGCGTGCGAAGAAGAATATATTTTTTCTTTTTTTTTTTTTATCTTTTTTTTTTCTTTTTGTTAGCCGATTTCCGCTCTACCTCAGAAGCCACCCTTTTGTTAGCCTCGTATATAATAACTGCAATATCATTGCTACTGCTATCATTGCCAGTACGAATAAAGCCATTAAACGAGAACGAACTGCTGTCAATCTACCACGATGAAAGCGTTCATCCATATACTTTAGTGCCGCATGTCGGAACTCTCTCGGGTGTTCACTGCGGTACTGCAGTACTTTCTCTCTGTGCTGTTCGCCGAATGTGAAGAAATCCATACCGTAGCAGCCCTTGGCGATATCATTCACCACATCTGCGTCTAGTTTACCGCTTCCCTCTTCACGGCGGTACAGTGGGAAACCATCCATGCTGTAGTGAAAACTATCATCCAGTGGAATAGCCACAAGATAGTCAAAGACACATCCCGCTCGCATCATGGCAATGGCCAATCGTGCGATATTCACGGCATCATCAAAGCCACAGTGTGGTCTACCTTCAAATCGTAATTTCATGCGATTCAACATGGCATCCAACTTGAGTGGGGCGCCTCGATTAAAGTGGTGGGCGAAGGTCGTACGGATATCGAGATATTCGTAAAAGAGACTAGGGAAGCTCACGTGATCCCGCACAATGGCGTGTTCGTAAATAAAGTTCTTAAAATCCCACGGGCCATCCGCAGCGAAGGCGACTTTGGCGCCTGCAGGAATAGTGGCGCGAAACCAACTCTCAAAGGCCTGCACGACCTCCTGCAGTGTTGGGGCCTTATCCACATCCTCCTGTGAGATGCCTGTGAGGGATTTGCAGAAGTCGGTGAGAATTGGATGCCGCGTGGGGCGCACATATGAGCGGAAGGAGCGTTGGCGGTCCACAACACCGCGACGGACGTCAATCAACACACCAGGGAGTTCAATGATTTCGTGTGGGTAATTGTTGGTGTCCCGTTCGCAGGTGGCTTCCACATCTACAACAATAATGTAATCAAACAACTGACGATCCAAAGGGTCCACGTCATCGTAGATACCATTGTGTGGACGAGTCCCTTGTCTATGATGTTGATATTGTTGTTGTTGTTGTTGTTGTTGTTGTTGTGATCGTTGTTGGGGTTTCTTACGTTGGTGTGTTGAGACACGTTGTCCATGGAGACAAGCCCGTCGCTCCTTGTTGGCCTTCTTCTGCGCCATGGCCCGTTTTGTGTGTCCCGACATGTCCCTATTGGATAAAGAAAAAAGAAGAAAAGAGAGAGAAAGAGAAAGAGAAAAAAAATAAAAAATAATAAATTTCATCATCTTTCTTTGTAGTAAAAAAAAAAAAGGTGTATTTGTGTTCTCCTGTAATAGCGTATAATATTGGACTAGAAATCCGTCAAGCAATTTGTGTTCCAATAATAATAATAATATACAGAGATACATATATGCACATTACAGATATAAATAAATATATATATGTATATATGTATATATATATTGGCAAGTTTATCATTGTGCATTCCATAGCAATATGTTTACATCATTTATGGGGACATTTTACAAACAAAACTCAAAAAAAAAAAAAAAGAATTGCCAAGACACAGACTTTTTTTTGTCTTTCTTTTTCTTTTTTTTTATTTAGTTTTGTGAATGTCCCCACCCCCTTTTCCTCCTTTTTTTTTTTTGATTACCACATCATTCATAATTATTATTATTCTCAGTACTATATCCTCCATCGTCAAGAATTATCTTCCGTAGACTCTGCATCTTGTTTAAAGTGTTCTCTGCAGGATAAAAAGTAGCAATGATTATAAAGAAGACGTGCGGCCCGCATAACATCCCCACGGAATTGTTGGCATAACTTATTATGATAAGCAATAATAGTTGATAGATACGCCACATCCTCTGGTGTTCGAAGCTCCACTTCTCCATCGGGGTGCCAAATGGAAGGATCATCTGTTTCCTGTTGTACACGTTCCTCTCCAGAGAGTTTACCTGCGATGATATCCACAGCGAGACTCACAAGACGTAAATCCTTCTGATATGGAAGGAGCACTTCTAACATCTCTACAGAGGGAATAACATTGGATAAACGGCGAATATCACTTTCACGTGCATGAAAGTGATGTGCGCCGAGGGCCAAAAGTAAAGCTTCTGAAGAACTGGACGTACGCAGCGTTGGACAGTGCGTTAAGAGAATACGTGTGGCATTCACATATCCATTAGCAATCGCATAATATAATGCCGTACACGCCGCATCATCACAGATATGCACATCCGCATCCACTTCCACTAACATCTGCACAACAGCCGCTGGATCACTGTTGGGATTATTCACCGCACACAGTAGTGGTGTCCAACTAAAACGGGGTGATATGCCCAAATCCAGTAAAGCGGTATTCACCACCACTGCGGATCCCCGATCGAGTAATGTCTTTACATATCGAACATTATTACGGAAACATGCACGATGTAAACTTGAGGCGGTGGGGGCGACTGCAGTTGTGTTGACATCCACGCGGGGTGAGGCGGAGAGGGAGGCGGATGTCCCTGGAATATCCGGCAGATCGTAACTCGTACCGCATGGACGACGGAATATCTCTGGAAGTGCACAACAGGCATCGTGAACCGTTTCATATTCCTCCGCAATGAGTCCCTCCGCCACCCACGCCCCTGTTTTTTGAGTAAAGCGTATCATTCGGGTTTCCAATTTGTTTTTATTGATACCAGACTTTTCCATCTCATTATTGGTATTCTTATTATTATTCTTATTCTTATTGTTGTTGTTGTTGTTGCTGTCGACAACTATGGTATCTCCCGTGAGTGGTAAGAGGACGAATGCGATCACTTCACCCGGTGTGTTTGTGAGGGTCACTACAAAATCCCCCTCAGCGGCATCAGGGCGATGTGCAAAGGCCTTTTCATGATACTCTAATGAATGAGAAAGATCATATATACCAGCACGCATATCGTTTTTCATATTACGATCCAGTAGGAGAAATGGACCCCACACACTCAGTAGTCTCTGTAGTGTGTACAGGGAAACCACTCCACACTTTCCATAATCTAATACATCCATGATAGGGGCATGAGACCATTTGGGAAAGAGTTGCAATGCAGGAAGAAAAACTTTAGAAAAACATGCAGGTACATCACTTCCCACATGTGCATTCCATAGTTTTCGTACAGAGATATCTCCAATATATGTAGAAGAATCAAAAAAGATGGAATCACCACAAACCTCCACATACCAGCGTAGATGTGCCAAGTGAATATCCAAGTCACCATTAATATCTGCAAACGCACATTCAAACTCTACTGGTAAATCTACAACTTCCCATATCCACGGCACTACATCATCCTCTCCTGAAAATCCATCTTTACTTCTACTAGTAGAACCAAATTTTGAAGTAGCATCCAATGGATTGCATGATTTTACTGTATCTGTATAGCGTTGTAGTTCTTCTTGAGCACGCAAAAGTAATTTGCATATCGCATCAGTGAGAAGATAAAAGACTGGGGCCTGTTTTACTGAAAACTTTACAGACTTTATATCTACAAAAAAGTTATGTACCGCCTTCACATGTGGAAAGACAACACCTAGTGGAATATCCGCCTCACTACAGGCCGTATCAAGATGTGTGGTGAGTGTGAGTACACCACTCACTTCAGAGTCTGCCACTGTTGCGACATCCACGCCGTGTAAGTGATGTTTCATTTCCATGAAAACTGCCTGAAAAAGACGTAAATCCTTCGGAGCGAGAGGGGCACCAGTGATCTCTCCCAGTAGTTTTCCAACTTCTTGTGTAGATGGATTAGTGTTGTTGGCTGTAAATAACTCGGGAAATTGGGCGGGGTCTACATCACTTATAACTCGTGCAAGAGCACGAAGGTCCGGTGGGATAAGAGCCCGTTCTACTGCGGTATAACGCATTCAATAGAAACAAAAAAAATAAAATGTACCAACTCACTAATATTAACAGGATAGTGTACCTATTTATTCATAATATTTATGTATGTTAGTAATAGTGTATATATGTTATTGTATGTCAGGTAAGAAAGAGTAGAAGCAGACAAAAAAAAATAATAAATAAAAATAACAATAATAATAATCAATTAATCAATATCAATTAATACATATTTTTTTAATCGGTATATTGTTAAGGTGAAAAAAAATGGATTGATTTTCCATTCAAAAAAAAAAGCAAATATTCCAAAAAAAAGTAACTCTCAAAGATGACGCTATTCATCTTTAATATTTGAACAAAAAAAAAAATTTTTATTCTTGTTGTTATACATACTGATACTACTTTTTTCCGTATCGAAGAGATGGCAGATGCCAGTGACTATCTACTGAGTTTGCTACATCATACTGTTGTTCATGCTGTTTTAGCATTTCTTCTATTGGCAGTCGCCGCTGCACTAAATGAACAGATGGCATTGGATCCAACTTCATCCAACCATTTGGATCATACGGCTTTATAATACTGCGGCCACTGCGGCCACTTTCATTGGGATACACCAACCGCTTGGATGCGGGCAGGTAAACAGCCGTATAGCCAAGCTCTCGCCACTGGCGAAGTAATTCCTGACTTACAACGTCCTCCGATAGGCGTGATTCTCCCTCCTTCTCTTCTCCTTCTTCTTTGTTATCATCATCATTATCATTATTATCATCTCCTTTTTTCTCATGCGATGTCGTCTCTGTGGGAGAAGCGCCACTTCTTCCTTCCTCAATTTTTCTAGTGGACGTTGCGTCAACGCATGTGATAAAGAAACCCTTCTGTGGAACTTCAGGTACTGCAGTGGCCGCCACTCCAGTGCTGGTTGGACTCTTCACTCTCAACATCGTTCCCTCTACAATGGCGTTTGCAGTTTGCTGCAGTTGGCCAGGCAGCAATCCAACAGGAATGTGTTGTAAGGCATTCGCACCAATGAGACGATCCGCTGGTGGATCTGCCGCAATTCTCTGCATCGCCCGTAGACGTCGATCAATCGCCTTTGTGTACATTCCCTCCACGATATCAAACCGTCGTTTTAACTTATCTTGTCGAATCTTCGACTCTTCTAGTTTTGCCTCACGAGCCTGACGTGCGGCATCTGATCGTAAATTTGAATTCAACGCCTGCCATTGTGTGGACTGCACCATTTGCATGATATTCGCCGTCATGTTAATATCCAAACTCTCTAATCCCTCCACAATATTCCCTTCACATTCAGAAATGGTATCACTACGGGAATCCTCGTGAACTGTGCTATTGGCATTGTTTTTCCGCCAACGATCTGCCTTCTCATGATAGCCCCGCGTTGGGCTTTGTCTAGAACTCGAAACAGGTAGACTGAAGTTGCCAGCAGAGACATTTGCAGATAATTTATCATCATCATCGTGATTATGATTATTATTATTATTGTTATTATCACCAGTATTAGTATTATCACCATTACGAGTATTACTTTCGTCCTCATCTCCTCCTTTATTCTGTTGTTCCTCTACCTGTTTCTGTTTTCCCTTTCGTGATACTGAATCTGGTTTTCGTTTGTGCATTTTACCCTTAACAGATTTCATTTCCTTTTCTTTTCGCTTGGCACTCACTAAAGATTTTTCTTTATTTGATTTTACAAGTGATTGAAAGAACTCCTCACGGCGTAATTCCTCTTCCTCATCCCGCAAACGTTGAATTCGACGTTGTAGGGCTACTTTCTTACGCAGCAGTTCACCCATTGGTGCCCCCGCGTCTACTCGCTCCATCAATTGCCGCATCTCATCTTCAGCGCGGTTGAGATTAGCGCAGAGCGCCACCATCGGATTTTTCGATGGGGCATCCATCAACGTCTAGCAGTACTACTAATATTTTACTATTAACACTACTACAAGCACTAGATATATATAAAAAGATATATGTATGTATATAGATAGATAGATAGATAGAAAGATATGTGTATATATATGTCTGCTCCTCCTGAGAGTCAAACTTAGAGAAGAATAAAGAAAAAAGAAGAAAAAAAAAGAAAAAAAGAAAAAGAAAACAGAGTACACCTAAAAATAAAAAAATAAAATGGGTAGATAGATATGAATAGAGTAAATGTAACTCCATATATAGACAACCCAATAAAAAAAAAAAAAAAAACATAACAGCGGCATAAGCAACTATAGTATTAGTTTCCGCATCTCAGCACTGTTTTGAACGTCTCATAATAATAAACTTCATCTGTTCCAGTACGTGATTCATGCATTCCTCTCCTTTTAGACAACTATGCATTTCATCCATGGGTCCGTAGCAGATACGCCGCATGAATAATGGATTATCTTCCACCATTTGAACCGTTCCAAATGTCTCTGGAGCGTTAGAGGCACTAAACCGCACAATCCATTTCTCCTCCATGGCACTATTCAGCAACTCCGTCGGCCGCGGTGTGTTGCCGAGTATCGCAACATCCAATTCACAGCCTTCTCTTCCCGTTACGAATCGGTGATGCATCCGCCGAGAGGCCTCTGGGGAGAAGGGAATCCAAAAGTTCCCCTTCGCCGCCACCGCAGTGGGCGCCAATGCCGTTGTGGACTCATACCACCACTGCGGCGGGCCCACACAGCACGGTTTCCCGCCGGTCCGCTGAAATTCCCTCAGCACCGCATCGCACTGCAGTACTCGGTAGGCAAATCCCTGATCCCGCAGCCAACTCTGTCGGCCGTAACTCTGTTGCACCTCGTGTGTGTCCTGCGAGACGAGGGTGTAGAAGAAGGAACACGTATTGTCCAGTGAAGGGGGCTTGGGCCGAAGAATACGTCCGAGTCGCTGCGCCTCCTGACGACGTGAGGCGCCTAATCCCGTTATTTGAATAATAACAGAAGCACAGGGAATGTCTAGGGCAACATCACCAACACGAGAAAGAATAATCGCATTGATATCTTTAGAGAATTGAAAATACTGCAACAAGTTGGCACGCTCGGACTCACTTGTCTTACCATCCATAAAAGGAATCTTTAAATGTCGTGCATAGTAATGTACACCCTCCAAATCATCACAGAAAATAATAACTTTATCTGGTGGTGATCGATTACGGTGAAACTCCAACAATGCCTGTGCACACCATAGTTTATACGGATTAAAACACACCACACCAGCGGCGAGTGTTGTTGTACCACGACGAGCAAAGGGATTTGCATCTGCATTAGCGGTGATGTACTCTGTGAAAAACGGTAGTGGTAATGGACATCGTACTTCTGCACACTCCACACGGGCAAGAAATCCAGCGCGTGTGAGTTCTAACCAATTAGCTTCATACAGTTTTGGACCTACGAGATGGCGAAGGTCACTAATTTTATCATCCTCACGTAAAAGCGTTGCACTGAGACCAACCACACATTTGTATTTTACTTTATTTAGTACTTCTTGAAAGTGATGTGCAAGGGCAGTGTGAACTTCATCTAATAACAATAATCCCCATGGTTGTTCTTCTACACTAGCAAGAATTTGTGAGGTGAGTCTGGCATCTGCACTTTGCTCTTGATCATTAAGAACTGTACGCTTCGCAACGAGCATATTATATGTTGTAATGAAGACATCCCCTGGCATTTGTTTTTTATCAGAAATGCACACTGTCACCTGATCCTCTGAGAGATTTGTCCATCTAAGAAACTCCCGCTGCCACTGCAGTACAGACATAACGTTAATACACATCACAATTGTACGTTTCTTTACAGTAGTGGCAGCTCCTATTCCAGTAAGTGTTTTTCCGGCTCCACATGGAAGTACAATCACTCCCTGATGTGCCTTATTACCACAGCGAAAACGTTCTAATGAGGCTACTTGATATGGACGTAAACGTACATGTTCCGCTAATGCCAAGTCCCTTACATCAAGTGTTCGATCTTGCAAGTAATCGTAGAATAAATCAGCACGTACGCCAAGTTCCTTAAAGAGTCGTTCTCTCACATTACGTAGTTTTCCATCCATCACTTGACTCTTGTATACAAGACGGGTATATTTTTTCTCTCCTCCCGCGCTAGTTCCCTCCTCTGAGGCTGTAGAGGGTGTATCAAATAGTTTTCGTAGTACCATCGTCCTACCGCTTTCCACAATACTCTTCTCTTCCACACCGCGATCAACATCTGAAAGGACCCACCGCACTACACCATGTAAAGAAATAGGAACGAGAACATCCTGCAGACGGCTAACGAGATTCTCCATATGTTTACGATCTTGACTCACAAGAAAGTATGCGAGCTTCTCTTCATCTCCATCTTGTGGAGATTTTTGCCATTGATGATGATGATTATTATTAGTATTAAAATGATGATTTTGTTGTTGCCGTTGAAAAGAGCGTAATCTCGGTTGGAGAACAATACGCACTCTTGAAGATCGTTCTTCTTCTTGCAGCATCTGCTCAAGATCCGGTGGAAGTGGACGAAGTGCGTCTGGGTGAATTAATGCACGTGCTATTAACGGTTCTGGTTGAACAGGTGGAGTTCTCACCAAAGAAAGAAAACGACGCCATGGTGAAGTTGGCTCCTCATCCACCTCCTTCTTTACAACAGAAGAAGGAGAATTATCCGTTTCTGTTCTTATCTTTTTAATTCCATTATTATCCCCTTGTTTTTCCTTTCCCTTCTGCTGCTGCTGCTGTTGTGATTGTGATTGTGGTTGGACTGCACTTTCTGTCTCTTCCGTGGCGTCCTCCAGCTGCTGTTTCAATTCAACAAACTTCGCAATATCCACCGGCAGTCGATGCTGCTCGTCAAGGCGGAAGTAACGAATGGCATTTCTTATCATCGCCACCGTGTACGTTCCCTCTGCACTCGCGGCGGAGAGAGAAGAGGGGGAAATGATGTATTCACTCATGTGAAGAGTGCGGCAAACGGGCTCGCAGCAGGAAGTGAGAAAGTCGCCAAGATGCGGGTACGCCGGATGGGCGCTGTCAACATAAATACTCCCATTCGAACCCACAATCATCCACACACAAAGAAAACGTCTGTCTAATATATATATACGTGTGTGTATGTGTGAGAGAAAGAGAGAGATATGTTTAAAAGAATTCCAGGATACAGATTAAAGAAAACACTCAGACGTTCTGTAATCACACGAATATCTTCTTGAATATGATCGCGCCTAAAAAAAAGAAAAAAAAGCAAAATTAGATAATGATGGGAGGAAAAGAAAAAAAGAAATAAGGAGTGAATATGTAATGGGGTTGTTGACAATAAAGACAAGTACTCTAAATGATTTGAACGCATACACCACAGAGTAAGAGAACAGAAAGAAATATAAATATAAATATAGATCAGAGAACTGACGGAAGAAAAAAGAAGCAACAAGCAACAAGCAAAAAAAAAAAAAAAATTATTAGATTAGAAACAAAAGAGTCTCATTAAAGTAAAATTAAAAAAAAAAAAAAAAAAACCTATTAAGATATAGGCACAGAAGTAAGGCGGCGACTCCTATTATCAGATAAATATAGGAAAATAGTGAAAACAAAAGTGCCACCTAAACAGTGCAAACAGAAGTAGTAGTACAACAAAAAAAAAAGAAGGGAGAAATGTGAGAAGGGCAAAGTATTTAAACAAAAGAAAAACGCAGATAAAAAAAAAAAATGTATTGCAGAGAATATGGTGGTCATTCATGTTACTTTACCCCTTTTTTCTTCCTTTCTTTCTTTTTTTTTTTTTTTTACCTATTGCTTTGATTTTTCTTCCTTTTTTTCTTTTCCATTGTTTTCTTCCACCATTAGTTACTCTGTTCACAGAATGTGTCTATACATAAACTTACCTCACATATCACATTTGCATACTTTTCCATAAATCCGCTTTCTATTTCCAATTATCTATTTTTTCTTTTGTGGTTCTTGTAGTTGTTTTTATTCTGCTCCACATTTTTTTTTCTTTTCTTTTTCTTCTTTTAATATTGGTGGTTCATATATTTCCTTTATTCACGCACAAACAAACAAACAAAAACAAAAACAAACTCTTTTTTTTTTTTTCTCTCTCTCTCTCTCCTTGTTTCTCATCCTTGTTGTTATTTTGCTTCACTGCCTTTTTCTTCACCTTCTGTTCTCAAGCCAAGAACTTTCCATTTTCTATTTTCCCATTTTTTTT